TTCTGAGAAGCAGGTCCTCTGTGGTGAATTTGACCTATCCCGTGCCCAAGGGACGTCTGTCTAAGGCTGCCACTGCCACCCGGGATTCACATGAAACGAGAGGAATGTTATGAGATTTGGCAAACTTAACGTCAAAGAAATTGCCCGCAGTCCCTGAATCTATCAGTGCAATAGTGTCTATACACTTTTCATTAAACATCAGTGTAACGGGAACTTCTAGTGTGGTCAGAGAGCAAGGATTGGTACTCACCTTAGAGGAGTTTCGGGCAGAAGGACGAGTGGGACAGGAGGCCCTCAAATGGCCGGGTTGACCGCAGTAGAGACACAGATGATTACGAATCCGTCTTTCTCTTTCCTCTGAGGTGAGATGAGTAAATCCAATCTGCATGGGTTCAGGTTCGGGTGAAGCTGTGGCTGCCTGACTTTGCACAGGAACATAGCCAGGAGTTCGTTGTGAGCGCATCAGATTATCAATGCGGATGAACTGCTCAAGGGTTTTTCCCTCGTCACGGCATGCGAGTTCCGACTGTAACTCTGCTGTGAATCCCTTGCGGTAAAGCAGTTTGAGTGGATCATCCCTTCAGCCAGTTTGTGCCGCGAGGGTGCGAAAAATGAGACCATAATCCACGGCTTTATTACGTCCTTGACGTAGAGCAAGTAATTGCTCCCCAGCCTCCTTTCCACCCGCCGAATGCTCAAAGACCTCCCGGAAGCGTTGTAGAAAGCAGGGAAATTATGGAAATGACAAACATTCCCCTTCCCACACAGCGGTAGCCCAGTCCAGAGCTCGCCCAGTCAGCAGAGAACAAACGAATGAGACGCGACTCTCATCAGTGGGGTATAACTACGGTTGCTGATTAACAAACAGGGAGAATTGTAATAGAAAGCCCTTACATTTCTCTGGTGAGCCGTCAAATTTCGCTGGGAATGCCAGGCATGGGCTGGTGGTAGAGAGACTCGAACTGGAACTGGGTTGCGGCGGATCGGGCGATGTAACATTGGCCACAGGACCGGAGACACATTCTATTAACTTTTTATTAGAGAATTTAATTGGACATATAAGGTTCATGTAATAATATGTTTTACCATGGAATATGCTGTTACAAACTGCCTCTAAAAATCAATTTTGAAATTCCAAAGTTGATAGAGACAATAAACTAGAGGCAGCTTTTCTGAATAACAACATTCACTTACAAAATTGCTTGGAATGACTGTGACAACAGGACCTTGACATGATTACTCATAAAACTCTACATTTTTCTAGCATGTAGTGTTCCTATTATTTCCATAAACGGATGTAGCAGCTAGTCACTGGTTTTATAGAACATAAGGTAACGCTTTAGATTACAACCCGCAAAGAACTACGTAAGTATACTGAATTTACGGTGTATGTTTCTGTAATTATAGTGTACCTACAAAGAATGTACGTGTAGGTATAAGGGAACAATGTGCTACGTTTGTGTAATGAGAGGATAACTACCAGATATGCAACCTGCAAAAAACTGCGTAAGTAAACAGAAGTTACTGCGTAACTTTTTTTGTAATTATAATGTACCTATTCAGCACCTCCGTGTAGGTATAGGGGAATGATATGCGACATTTGGGGAATAAAGGGGTAACATTTGTAAAAACCTGTAAAATTACAAATCATTTATACGGTAAGTATTTTGAAACTAAGGGGTACCTATTCTAATATTACGTGGTATGAATGGCCTAAACAACAATCTTATATTTGGGAGTGATTTAGAAAGACAATATACTTGTTATAATTTTATATTGGTATTTTATTATAGGCATAGGTATTTTTTAACCATTGGGTACATATTCTATTATTAAAGGATACATGATGGAGATTACTGAACAACAAAACTAGTGAAATGAGTTAATGAGTTTCTGCTATGATTTATAATTCACAAGTCTACTTACCTTATGAAAGCTTATTTGTCGATCTCAGCTGAGTCACACCAGCAACTTCCCAACACCAATATCACTAAATAAGGTAACGCTTTAGATTACAACCCGCAAAGAACTACGTAAGTATACTGAATTTACGGTGTATGTTTCTGTAATTATAGTGTACCTACAAAGAATGTACGTGTAGGTATAAGGGAACAATGTGCTACGTTTGTGTAATGAGAGGATAACTACCAGATATGCAACCTGCAAAAAACTGCGTAAGTAAACAGAAGTTACTGCGTAACTTTTTTTGTAATTATAATGTACCTATTCAGCACCTCCGTGTAGGTATAGGGGAATGATATGCGACATTTGGGGAATAAAGGGGTAACATTTGTAAAAACCTGTAAAATTACAAATCATTTATACGGTAAGTATTTTGAAACTAAGGGGTACCTATTCTAATATTACGTGGTATGAATGGCCTAAACAACAATCTTATATTTGGGAGTGATTTAGAAAGACAATATACTTGTTATAATTTTATATTGGTATTTTATTATAGGCATAGGTATTTTTTAACCATTGGGTACATATTCTATTATTAAAGGATACATGATGGAGATTACTGTTACGTGGTATGAATGGCCTAAACAACAATCTTATATTTGGGAGTGATTTAGAAAGACAATATACTTGTTATAATTTTATATTGGTATTTTATTATAGGCATATAGGTATTTTTTAACCATGGGGTACACATTGTATTATTAAAGGATGGACATGATGGAGATTACTGAACAACAAAACTGGACATCTAGCGAAATAAGTTAATGAGTTTGTGCTATGATTTATAATTCACAAGTCTACTTACCTTATGAAAGCTTATTTGTCGATCTCAGCTGAGTCACACCAGCAACTTCCCAACACCAATATCACTAAATAACTTGGCATGATATGCCATCAAGGTTCAGTGCAGCTTAAAACAAGCTTACCTCTTTCCAGCTGTTCGCAGAAAAAAAAAATACATGATACAACATTTGTATTTCAGTGGATGTATACTGTGATGTGTTTATAGCAAAGTAAAAAAAAAAAAAAATAGTAGAAAAAGTAGAGGGTTTAATTTGACCATCAAACAATTAAATTAAAACTAGTGCAATATTTTTCTCTGTAATTCCTGTGCAAATATACATTTGTTCTGTGTTTAAGTCCAGCTTGGTCTTCCCTTGTTCCATGTAGTTACAGGGTAAATACAAAAGTTGCGGGCTGTAAATTAATGTGGTGCTTGTTCCCCCTTATTCCATATTTACAGGGTAAACACAACAGTTGCGGGTTGTAAATTAAAGTGGTGCTTGTTCCCCCTTATTCCATGTAGTTACAGGGTAAATACAACAGTTGTGGGTTGTAAATTAAAGTGGCGCTTGTTCCCCCCTTATTCCATGTAGTTACAGGGTAAGTGGCTACAACAAATTGCTCTGAAACGATTGTTTATACAGTAGGACATACATACATTATATATCCGGTAATATATCAATAAACATGGTGGACTGTTTTATTTAATTCAAATATTGTTTGAAATTTACTATAGGCCTACTGCTGGGTTAAATTAACCCACAATGTTTTTTTTTTAATTAAAATCACACACAATATGACAATGGTAACAACACAGGCAACAGATAATAAAAGATTAATATTTATTACACCAGTTCAGAAAAAAAGCAAAACAACTCCATACTTTTACAGCTTATTCAGTTAAACCAAATTCTTTTGAAAAGCTTGTTTAAGAACAAATTTAAGATTTTGTTCAATTTGTTTGTGTATTTCACCCACTGACGAAGTTAAACTATTATGTCCAAACCATCACGCCAATAAACGCATAGTAATAAACACTGAAAGTCAAGATTAAACTGTGTATTATAGCAAACTGAAAGGATTTGACCTTTTTAGGATTTTACTTTGATTTTACTGTTTTGATCCACGTCCTCAAGCACCATTTTTACTAGTTCAGTTCCCGGTTTTACCGTTCATCAGTCACCGCTCAAAGTTGTGAGAACATACTCGGACAAAACCCTCCAATTTTAAAAGAACACATTACAGTCAGTTTCAAAAATCTTTCTCCTCATCTCTTCAATTAGTTTTCTTGTATTTTCTACACATATTCCTGTCATGAGCGCCGCAAACACAGACTTGATCGTCTCAAGCGCCATTCCAGCTGTTTCCAGTTTGCGCTCACCACATTCACTGGTCCAGTTTTAAAGGAACACACTCCTGACAGTTTCAAAGTTGTCCCTCGTCTGCGCTTCGTTTTCTCCAATTTTCCATACGTTCCCATCTCAAGCACCGCAGACACGGATTTGGTCGCACACAGAACTGCTCGCATTTGAACTCGCGTGACTTGCTGCATGCTCTCTTTCACGTCCTCCACATTCCTAACCCAGCACCGTCGAGTTACTTATTACTGATATCAACCCAAATTGGGTCAAATCAAGTCAGCTTCCTAACCCAACAGTCTCAGCTGAGCGTTTGGATTGAAACAATAACCCAGCATGTTTTATATGTGTAGGCTATAAAAAGGTACACAGTGTATGTTTTTGCTAAATGACTTGCAAATATAAGATTGTTGTTAGGTCATACATACCACGTAATATTAGAATAGGTACCCCTTAGTTTCAAAATACTTACAGTAGAAATAATTTTTAATTTTACAGGTTATTACCCATTTATTCCCCAAACTTAGCATATTATTCCCTTATACCTACATGGAGGTACTGAATAGGTACACTATAATTACAAAAAAGTTCCGCTGTAAATTCTGTTTACTTATGCAGTACGTTGCAGGTTGTAATATAAAGCGTTTCCGAAACATAAACTAGCCCTTGATCTAGTGACACTACCTACATTCATTAAAATAATCAAAACTTCTCAATGATACTCATTGTCATATGGGCCATTTCTGGTACTTAACGACAAAAATAACTTACTACAACAGAGCCAATGACTATACACATATGATGTTATAGCATCTGGCTAAATGTAGAATTGTGTATAACTGTATATGTGAAGCTACTGTATGTTAGTGGCTGTAAATACAATAAGACACTTACCATTTGACCAATCTCTCCTGGCATTCCAGGGTCTCCCTGTGAGAGACATGATATATACAGTAGTCAACATTTGAAGTGGATCAAAACCTTTCATTAAAGTTGTCCTAAAATCTAAAACCAAAATGCGTTCTTGTCTTAGAACAACTTTGATTAACTTTTTTGATCGACTTCAAATGTTGACTACTATATTTAACCGTTATATAGGAACTGATATGAAAACAATAAAACTATTAACATCTCATCCATAGTCCTAATTTTATCAAATGTTATTTAATATATTTCACATCATACTGAATATGATATTGGGTTGATGTAACATAACTATTTTATATATATTTTTTTACATCTTTTAGACTTTTAAGGGAAAGAAACAGTCTGTGACAAACACCAGCACATTGTGTCATTGTGTGTCTCAGGTGTCCTACTTTACAGTCTTGGTAGATGCTTTTTTAACAAAAGAGAAGAAAACAGCATTTTCCAACATTTTCTATCACAAAAAAAGACGCGTGAAACATTAAAATACATCAGTTTCAAAGAAATAAGTGACAGAAGGGTTGAGAAAACAATACAACGATTGCCTGGAGTAAATACAATAAAGAGCCCTTAATATTTTTACACTCTTGCCTTGGTCCAAATGAACAATTGAAAGTCCTGGTACATTTGTAAGCATGATCCTTCAACATGCTCTGCTTTTAGAGATACTTACAGGGAGCCCTGGCACTCCCCGAGGACCATCTTTTCCTGTGTCCCCTGGGGGTCCCCTGGGGCCTGGGGGACCTGGAGGTCCAGGAGGCCCTGGGGGCCCTGCTTGACCCTGGTCACCCTGTGAAAGTAAAATTGTAAATATGTGAAACATTATTATAAGTCAAAGAATAAAACATACATAAATGTTTGTATGCAGTTTAAGGGGGAAAAGACTGAAAGGTCAATGAAAAGTTGTAATCTCTCTTATCTCACAGTATTAAACAACATTAGAATGAAGGCCCAATATATTTCAAGTGAAATCAGAGAATACACTTATGTCTTATGTCATTTTCAAGAAAATCAGATCAAAACAAAGTTTATTTGGAGTTTGTTTCAAGGAGTTTGAAACAGCTTGCCAAAGCAAACTTTCTAAAAAAGGAAATTGTGTTATTGAAAGGAAAGCATGCAGGACATAGGCCTTATTTACATATTCAACTAAATGCCACTCTCAGCAGCATTGACAGCATCGGGATGTCGGATAACAGTATACCTCTGCTTGCATATTTCAAACTTCTCTTTACCACTAAGTGAGGAACAAAAATAATTTCACAGTCAGTATACTGGGGCCTTCAGGCTACAGATGTAATGTTTACTCTCTATATTAATCCAATCAGTTATTTACATTTACATTTGCATTTAGTCATTTAGCAGACGCTTTTATCCAAAGCGACTTACAAATGAGGACAAATGAAGATACAATTCCGTTTTACTGTGAGGATTCCCTTTCACAATTTTGGAGCATAATTGCTTTTAATCATTTCCAAATTTTTCCAAACCTGTCTGAGTATAAAACATAAATCATGTATATTAAGACTTTTTTATTCATGCAAAGCTATTGTACTGGTTTTGATGGGAAGGAAAGATCATCTGTCTGAGTAAGTGGAACAATAACATTTTGATTTATACATATTTGTGTTTTCAGTTTACTTATTCTGTATATATTTTTTTCTTTTAACAGACAACTCATATTTCTCAACTCATAATTTTGTGTGCAACAGGTCATAACCACAATTCCACAAAGAAGGCTTAGAATTCAGAGCCCCCTCATTTCTGCAGCCCACATGTTAGGCTGATATATCACAAAAATTATTCATGGTAACACTTTAGAATACTGTTCTGTCATTAATAAATAACTTCACAAGAACACCTGAGTAATGCAGTATTAGCACTCTAGTAACTACTATTAACTAACAAGAAACTGATTCATGAATTATCAAGTAATGCTTAGTCCAATGTGGTAGTTTACTATTAGCTCATAGGTAACTACTACTTTTTCATACCTCCTAGAGAACTACAAAGAACTACTGTATACAGGTTCATATGAATAATGCAAAACGTATAATTAATTCTAAATTGAGAGTCATGGTAACCCATTAGTAATGACCCAAGTATTAACAAATCCTTCAAAATAAATTACTAATTATTTGTATCAATATTCTAAAGTGAATAACATGATAACTCTATACTAATGACTGAAATCATTGCAAGCTTTTGAGGGTTTTGTAAAGTATTGGATAGTAATGACTCAAGTGTTACTACATCCTTCTAAAGGAATTACTAATTATTTGGATCAGTATTCTAAAGTGAAGATCATGATAACTCCCTAGGAATGACTGAAGTCATTGTTTTTGGAAGGTTTTTGGAAGATTCTGGATAGTTATTCCTTCTGATAGATTTGGTAACACTTGAGTCATTATCATGGATTACCATAATCTTCACTTTAGAATACTGATCCAAATAATTAGTAATTCCTTTAGAAGGATGTAGTAACACTTGAGTCATTATTATCCAAAACCTTATATATACCTCAAAAGCTTACAATGGCTTCACTCAATATTAGGTAGTTATCATGCTTTTCACTTTAGAATACTGATCCAAATAATAAGTAAATAATTCTGAAGGGTTTGGTAATACTTACTACTAATACTAGTGTAACTAGTAATACTAGGGTAATACTAGTCATTACTAGCTGGATACCATGACCTTCTCTTTAGAATTAATTATACATTTTGCATTATTCACATTAATTATGAACCTGTATATAGAAGTTCTTAGTAGTTCTCGGGAAGATATGAAAAAATAGTTACTGATTAGCTAATAGTGAACTACTACTTTCAACTGAGCACTATTATTTACTGTAGTAATTCATTAATCAGGGTTTATTGTTAGTTAATAGTAGTTACTAGAATGGTAATAGTACATTAGTCATTTGTTCTTGTGTAGTTATTAATTAATGATGGAACAGTATTCTAAAGTGTTACCCATCATTCTTACTGTTGCATTAATTTTACTAGTTTCTAGTCCAGCTGAGCACTGTGGTTAAAGCTGAAGAATGGGAAGCAAATGCTGGACCAAAGGTGAGAAGCCCAGTCTAATGGAGCAGTGAGAAAGAGAACAGAATGAGGACAAGCACTACCTTAATGAGTCGACGTTTAATGAGTTGCTGATCAGCAGAAAGAAAGCCATGGTTTATCTTAGGGAAGACCATCTGAGCAGGTGTGAGGTCAAAAGAGGTCGGAGGTCAAAAGTGAGAGAAGTCGGAGAGGAGAGTTGCATGAGGTCCCGGAAAGAGGAAGAGAAAAGGGAATAAAAAGGGGACAAAAATAAATCAGATTAAAGTAGTTGAAGTTGAGTCAGAGAACACAACCCAGTACCTTCATGCATTAGTAAAAGTTGACATTTTCCATGATGGCAGCAATGGATGTCTTGACTGCCTTTGGCAAAGCCTGTAATTACCACTTCATGGGTGCTAGGTCACCCACTCTGAGAGAGCCAATTTGAAAAAAAACCATGTCAACTTCTACTCACTGAAAGCACTGTCATTAGAGGTTTTTTTAAGCCAAGGCAGACTACAGGAATAGCACACACTGAAAACCATCATGCAGATTTATTTGTCTTTGTCAGTGTACTCTAAATTAGACAATTACATAGTCCTGCTATCTAAAGGGGGTACCTGTAATTACAAGAACAAAAATAATTATGTCAGTATAGATTAAAATATTGCATGATATGGCCCACTAATTATTTTTGTGATTCTGGACATTTAAGCAGGCAGTAAAGGAATCATATTTTGGTGGTTTCGGGTTGGATTTGTGGTAAACTAAAGATATCAGTTTCAAATACATCTCAACATTTTAGTTTAGCAATTAATGTGTCTCTCTTGAGTTATTACCTTCGTAGAATCCAAGCAGACAGTGGTCAGACTAGTTGGTGGTCAGAAAATATGACTTGTTTAAAATTAATCACACTTCACTGGTTTATTAGGGGAAAGAAACAGTTGCTCTGTTGTGAATGCATAAATTCCTGTCACCACACTGTATAATAATAACACCCCTGGAACTGGGAAAGAGGGTCAGATGGTTGGAATGGATTTATCAGACACTATTGTGTTTGGGCCAAGTCTGTCATTGCATAGGCATAGGGGACAAATGCGCTGTTGACACATCTCAGAGTGTGCCGTCCATAGAATCTGCCTTGGCCATTTGGCTGCGCCAACAAACCTTCACAGTCAGGATTTGATTGCTGTGTAATGCAGCCAGAGTGGGTAGACCAGGAAGTCCCTGGGGACAAACAGCACAAAAATGGCACAATACAAATACAACACAGCATGACAATAAAAGCCATTCACTCCACAGAAGAGTGCTGCATCAGTTTTGCATCAGTATGACTCAAAATGTCATGTTTAAAGAGGTCTTCTTTTTGACAAAGAGGCTTTCACACACTGCTCTGTTATGATGCTAAATGAATTTTGATTTGATCTCAGCAGTGCACTTAGCTATAAACAGACTATAGGTATTTCTTACTCATTTAATTTGGATTTGTGCTCTCGTATTGTGTGCCAATACCCTTAAATTAAAAGTTGAATACTGTTTGTAGTCTTGCAGTATTTGCTATTTGATCATAAACCTAAATTACTGAATATTTTGTAAACTAGGCTATGTAGCCTACATGTTTTTTTCTTACTCAATGGAATGCTAACAACAACAGCAAAACAACACATCAGTTAAAATGCAGGGAAATACCATGTTTATGAGATATTCCATCCCACCATGTTATGGGAAGTAATTTGAATTGCATGGCTCATTTAGTAGATGGATGCAAAGGTAACCACATCATCTTCTGTTTTGGTACTCAAGCAAAAAGCACTTGCAAACAAAATTACTGACAAAACAAAGTAGTTATAATTTCAAGTAATGGGTCCTTTGGAAAAGATATAGTGCAGCAACCTAATCATGTTCAGAAATATTTAAAAGTTGAAAAATAAGAACAGACAAATATAAATTATGTATAAAAATTAGGGTAATAGCTAAACCGAAGAGTTCTGCTGTGTTTCTGCTAGTCTCCTGTCTATGTTTCATTCTTGTTTGTTTTGCAATAGATTTGATCAATTTGTATAGAGACAGTACAACTTAGTAACTTAGGTTAAAATAGTCCTTGGTTTTGGCTGCCATTTTTCTACAGTCAACTCTACTGTAAGCATGCATGTGTCACAGTTATGTTCTCTCTCTTTGTAAGAAAGAAAGAAAAAATCTGACATAAGAGCCAGCCTATGTATATTTTATGATCAAGTTGTCCACCAGACCCATTTACTATATTGGGCTTTGTAAATGACTTATTCCTGCATTTTACAAGGACATGAAAATGGCAATGTCACAGTGGTTCACTAGAATAACAACAATTTGCTAATCATTGTTTTTCTACATCAGATGTTTCGTTTTTCTGTGGGTTTGCATAGAAAAAATAATAATGTTCTGTGAGCGCAGAACTTCTGATACGTGCAGTATGATTGCCTGAACATTTCTGAGCGGCAAAAGTTATAGATCTGTAAAGCAATATATTGTGAGAGGGCCGTGTGTTACCGCATCCCAAACGGCTCAAAATAATAAACCACACAGTTAACAAAATGGTGCACTCCACTGTGCTGAGTAGTGCTGGGCGGTATACCGGTTCATACCGAATACCAGTGTTTATTTTTCTTATGATATGAATTTTTAAAATACCGCAGTACCAGTGTCGTTTAAATAATGATCGGAACGCGTTTGAGGGGGGGTCTCTTTGCACTGTGGCGAGGACACAGCTGTATGTGTTACTAAGCGTGAAAGTTCCGAAACTGAAGCTGTAGAACGTGATGACACAGAAGAACGCGTCCACAATATCCACATTGACTGCCACAAATATCCACCGCCCCCTGCCATCAGCTCCCGCGTCTCACACACACGAGCGCGACTTCAGTGCTAGATTTAGCAACTTTCAGACACTTTTAGCGGCTTTTTTCCATAGCATATATATACTGACAAACCTAGCGACTTTTTTTGTATAAACCTTAGCTATGATTCAGTTGGAAGATGTCGCCAGTGCTGCCCCGCGAGCGCGAGGTCTGACTCTCCCGGCGCAGTGTCGTCTCTCTCGGCGTCTGTTCTGTGCAGTGAGCGGCAGAGAAGCATCGCTTTCAGCTGGCCGTACCACAGCCGACTCGTCAATAAATTAATACAAAACAGCGTTTCCAAGCACCTGTCGCTTACTGACTGGTTGGAATAATAAATATGAGCATAGTTCGTCTATTAATATAAGAAATTTTTTTAAGGAAGTTTTTTTGTTTTGTTACTCAGGCAGTGCGCTGCATGAGACAAAAAAGTAATATAGCCAAAACCACCGCATAGCCGCTCAACATGCATCTACTGTACATGCATGTTGATTTTATCAGACGATGTCGCTATTATAAATGAGAGTGACTCCTGGTTAACATGTATAAATGGGTCGTGTTTTGTCACTATTTAGAGTGGAATTTTTCTACAATATTCACTCATCATGACAGTAAAATAGGGCATTCTAAGTCAATCTACTGCAGTAGCCTATTTCATCTCTCAATCAGTAGAAAATGTGGTTTACACCCGGTCATGTATGGAAAAAATAAAACATAAATACCGTCATATACCGTGAAACCGGTATAATTTTGAAAAATACCGTGATATTAATTTTTGGTTATACCGCCCTCCACTAGTGCTGAGCGAGAGTGCTAGTGCTTCTCTGCTGTCTTCACGTGCTGTCGGAAACTTCCTATTTTCAACTTATGAAGTCGTGAGCGCTTCATGTGAGCGCTGCTGCAGTCTTAGGCCCACCCCAAATGCTCTCATTGGTTGAGATGCGTGATGACACCCATCCCAAGCCAGTACTGATCAGCATCCCACCCCTCTTGTGACCCATGGTTTGTCTGTATGTGTATTCAGAGCCAGTGAGCAACAGACTTTCATAATAATAAAAAACTGCATTAACGCGCGATAAAATATTTGTCGGCGTTAATCAATTAATGCGTTAACGCGACAATAACGAGTTAACTTGCCCAGCCCTAAATATAATATAATAATCCACTAAAGATTAAGAAAATCAATGATACAGAGAAATTTGGCAAGGAAAATAAATGGTCTGACACACATATAGCTAGAATTTCCACGAATTAATAATCTGAAACCATAATTGTAATTTGTTAGACTGATCCAATGGATATTCCTTATCTATGTTTGTGTGTATGTAGAGCCCTGAACAAATGTTTGGATTTCTGAATTTAGCGTTGTGTTTAAAAGAAAGACAATAGAGAATTTCACCATTAGTATTTGCTTAAAATATTACACTTTATGAGATCGCTGATTTTTGCTTACATATGTGACATGACATGTGACATGTGGCCAAGTATGGTGACCCATACTCGGAATTAGTGCTCTGCATTTACCCATCCAAAGTGCACACACACAGCAGTGAACACACACACACCGTGAACACACACCCGGAGCAGTGGGCAGCCATTTATGCTGCGGCGCCCGGGGAGCAGTTGGGGGTTCGGTGCCTTGCTCAAGGGCACCTCAGTCGTGGTATTGAAGGTGGGAGAGAGCGCTGTACATTCACTCCCCCCACCTACAATCCCTGCCTGTACGAGACTCGAACCCACAACCTTTAGGTTATGAGTCCGACTCTCTAACCATTAGGCCATGACTTCCCCATATATGTGCAAGTTAAATGTTGATGGACTTCGGTTTATATATGTCCATTTAAAACATTTCTAAAACAGTTTCACATGTGTATGTGTGAAAGAAAAGTCATACAAGGACTTAAATTTTGTTGTATTTTCTGAGAATGTCACTTCGTCCTATGAGAACTGTGGACTTTGACCCCTTAAGTTCTAGAGGCGGGGAAAAACGAGTGACGGGAACAACGCAGTTTTTTTTGCGGGGTAGTCAGAGAAATTCGCCGTGGAAAGAGTTACTTTCACCGCGATGAAAGCTCACAGCCGTCACGTTCACGGACATTTTGAGTGGCAGGCTCAGTGGGGAAAGTTTCTGTGAGTCATTTCAGTGTAAACGTATCACACGTCAGTTTGCAGCTCTGCGCTGCGAGAGAGTTCGAAGGAGGCCGCACACACCCCAGCCCTTGCGTGAGTCGCTGTGGAAGAAATCCAGCACGAGGATATTCCACATGAGAAAGTCTGTTTTACGGTTTGTAACGACTTTTTTTGTTGTTTTTTTATTAAAATAAGGTTGAGAAATCATCCGGAAGAATATTCTCATGTTTATTTTCTCAAGTTCAGTGTTACAGTTATAAGTCATATAATTCGTTTGAAATTCGGAAGAAGATACCGTGTTTATTTTATTCATTTGGTGTAAAGTATCACAGGGTGTGTGTAGTTTGGAGTTCGTGTCACATGCGTGATAATTGTTTTTTTCGAGACTGAGAGATCGTCGAGTCAAAATGTGGGAGATGGAAGAGGATCTTCGCGGATTCATCTGACCTGTTCGAGGAGGGAGGAGTTAATCACTCAATGTCATTGTGGGAGGCGTCACGGAGGCTGTGCTTTTCATCTCATCGTGCATTGAGGATCAGCGATTATTATTCCGCAAGTGAAATCTTGTTTCTCCTGGATTTGTGAGTACCGTTTTTTTTCCACTGAAAGAGCTCCAACTAGCACGCCACCGGTGTACTGCAAATCCCAGCTGGGTAATATTGAGGTGAAATCTGAGTAACCCTTTCTTTTTGATTGTGATGTTTATTGTGATTGATACTGTTGAGACTGTGTGAATTGAATTATTTGGTCACTCACTGACAAACAAAAGAGAAAACACAGAGGAAAGAAAAAAAGACATAACAAAAGAGTTCCTGAAAATAATAAATCCATTCATATATCATCTTTCACTTTGTGTGTTTTCCTGTGGAAATTCTAAAAGATTTGTATTCTCAAGTTTAAAAGTAACATAGTTTTGTACTTACATTTCCAAATAAGAAACATCAATCTGACACAACCAAGTGAAAATCTGAGACCTGCTTTATATACTGTGAATACTGTAATGAAAGAGAAATGTGCCTTTACTGGGCTAGTGGTGGAAATAATATCCCCTAGACAGATTTTTATTGTATGAGCCGCAAGATATTAACTTGGCAGGAGGGCTACATTTTGTGGGGGCTCGTCCGGGATCATTCAGATTATTCAGATTGTGTTTTCAGAAGTATTGAACTTAAGTGTTCTGTAAAAAAAAATTGGAAGCAATTTATGTGCATACTGTGTCTAAAGAGC